CGATGCTGACAGTCCTGCGCCACTCGGACTGCCCGCGCTTGCCTGCCGTGACGATCATGGCCTCCAGCTCCTCGCGACTGAGGCTGGAAACGTCCAGAGCTGCCAGCTCGCGAGGAGGAACTCTAGCCCGCTAGGACCTGGCAGGCAGTTCGCGCTGAACATCAGGCCCTGTAGGTATCCAGTCCCCGCAGTGCTTGCCCCAGCGATACGGGGCAGATTTCTTTCTGCATCCATAGCCACAGCATTTCCAAAGAGGGCCTTTGAATTTCCTGACCCATGGCGCTCGAAACCAATCCCAACTCTCTGATGAATCGCCACGAATAGCAAGAGGGGCCATGATGCTGCGCGAGTGCGCTCGCCTGCGAACGTCTTTCTAAGAGAGTGCTCCAGCAGGCGCTCACAAACCGCCAACCCTCGTCTGATCAAGCAATGAAGTGTGAACTGTCGGGGGCCGCATTTCCCTCGTCCCAATGAGGTGAGGTCCTGCGCCAAGCCAGCTCCAAACTTGCGCCAAACTGGTAACGGGAGGAGGAGGAGGAGGAGGAGGAGGAGGAGGAGGAGGAGGAGGAGGAGGTGGGGGAGAAGAGCCAGGATGAGGAAGGCGAGAGAGGAGCAGGGGGGACGATGAGGAGAAAGAGGGAAGCATCTTGTGGGCATCTTGAGGGTCTCTGAACTGGGGCCTCTTTGGGCTTCTTGGAGATCTCTGGGGCGGTCTGGGTCCCTAGCACGTTCGCTTTCATTCTCGTGGGCCGCTTGGGGCCAACTTGGGAGCCTGCTGGGCCGTCTGGGGGGCCGTTGGGGCCGTATCGGGGCCCTCATAGGCTGTCTTAGTGGCCTCTTGGGGCGTCTGAGGGCGATCTTGCGGGCCTCTGGGGCCGTTTCGCGGTCGAAGCCCATCTTGAAGCGATTTCTTGGGGACCTCTTGTTCCGTCGTGGGCGGTCGGAAGCCCGAGAGGGCATGAACGCTGAACTCAATGAAAATACAAATGGGACGTTTACAATTTTGGTCACCCGGGGGCCTCTTCAGGGTGCCCTGGCCTGTCTTGGGGCGCCGGTGGAGCCTCGCGACCCGTTATGAAGCAATGTTGGGGCCGCCTCGGGGTCGTGGTCCTCTTGCTGGGTCTCTGGGGGTCCTGTTGGGGCCTTCCTGGCCTCCTTGGGAGTGGACCCTGGGGTGGTCATGTCGCCTCTCGGGCTCGACCAGGGGTGGAAATAAGGCAGGGGGGCAGGGGGATGGGCCCGAAAACCTCACAAAAGTACATCGTCAACATGTTTGAAGAGATGTGTCCATTTATGTGTGCAGAGATGTGTGTAGTCTACGCATGTATACATGCAGCATACCGGCATCATTCTTGTACTCGCCGATCTCGGGCAATGTGCCACGTTGCGTCAATGGTCAACCGACATTGGTTGCAACAAGCCCCATGGTTAACCAACAGCCGCGGCTAGGAGTACATCCGAAGTCCCATTCCTGGCGCAGAGCGAGCATGCACATCCCCACAATCTGTGCATGTCACGCGTTCGTTCGAATGCCGTGGCGTAACCCACAATCAAAATAAGCATTACGAGAAACTGGCCACAAACACTATCGATCACTGATCGACATGCCGTGCTTGATTGTACCTGTGCGGCACGGTGTTGCATTCCAGGTCATGAACACACACTTGTACGACCACTCTGCGGGTGGTAAGGAGTTTGTGTGGGGGGAACCAGCGTCTCACTGAATCGATCGCACTATCGATCCCAATCGCTCTCACTATCGATCCCACTATGGATGTCGCCAGCGATCTAGCTCGCGATCTTACTATCGAGCGGCTTGGTTATCCATCGAACTCGGTATCGATCGACCTCAACATGAGTCGATCAAACTACCTTTGTATCGATATCACAATCGATGTCGCGATCGATCTCACTATCGATCTAGATGGCATGTAGTTACCCGGTCCCTATAATCTTGAGGACGTACTACCAGAAAGTACAGGGCAATATGTTTGGCCATCTATCTATCGACCTCACTCTCAATCTAACTATCGATCTCACGATCGATCTCAATACCAGTCGCCCTCTAACTACCCATCTCACTATCTATCGATCAAACAATCGGCCTCAATATCGATCTCACTATCGATGGGTCTATCGATCTCACCATCGATCTCGTAATCGACCTCACGGGACACCACGGGACATCACGGGACACCGCGCCACGTGACAGCACGGGACAGCACAGGACAGCACAGGACAGCACGGGACACCACCGGGACATCATCGGGACACCACCGGGACATCATTGGGACTACACCGGGACACCATCGGAACACCAGCGTGACACCACCAAGACACCATTGGAATACCATCGGGACACCGCGGGGCACCACAGAACACCACAAAGCACCATCGGGACACCACGGCGGGACGCCCCTGGCCACCGCCGGACAACCCGACGGGGACGGTCTTTTGCATCGGTGGCGCCCTAGCCAGCCGAGGGGTCATTCCTCCCGCCCACGCGCGCAGCTGCGCCTCACCCGCACGCGCGACACGAACGCGTCACGAAACCGAAACCAACTTCCCGGTAAGGGGGGTCTCCTCTTCATTTCAGTCTCTTCCTCCCCCAACCTCCGATGCACATAAATGATCCAAGATTGCCCCCCCCCTCCCTCCCCCCAATGCATATGGGATCGAGCACAAGCCTGTCGGTGGCCAAACACATGTATCATCGTCGATGCCGGCGGCATCGAGAGAAGTTGTCCGGTTGCCGACGTGATGTGGTTATTTCATTGGGGTTTACGAAGAGTCAGGCGTATGGCTTTGTTAGAACGTGGTAAGTTGGAGCTTGCACATGCGAAGACGTTGTCTAGGTCTCTGCTTTCTTCTTTCGAACATGGACCCCACAATCACGCTCGACCGAACGAGCCTTTGCCTGCGATGTCCCATGTCAGATCGATAGCAAAGTTTCGAGCCTCTCAAAGCGTCTGCCTTCACGCTTCTGGCATCTCGCTCCAAACCTGCCTTGCGATATTGTTTTCTTCGAATATTCGCGTTTCAAACCCGATGTGCTCCGCATCTTGTTGGTATTGATATTGACATGCTGCTCTCGGGGCGAACAGTTTTGACAATGAGCACTGAGGGAGAAGGAGGATGGGGAGAAGGCTGGAGTGTGCGACCCGCTCCATTTCATTGCCCAATCAGAGCTGGCGCTGTTCTTACCACCCCGTCCTTGTCCTCAGCCTCATTCGCCTCCTCTCGCTCGTCCTACCTCCTTCCTCTTGATGGCGTCTTGTAGGCTTATTGAGCCGTTATCGGGGGCCTCATCGGACTTTTTCTCAGGGATTTGTTTTGGGCGACATGGTGTCACCGAGCATTGCCACAGCGGCTCGGCGGAGCCATCCAGATTCAGTTGGCTCAGGTCTTGAGGCCGTCTCGGAGCTCTCTTGCTTGGGGCGGTTTTTGGCCGCCTTTGGGATGTGTTGGACCATGTTTGGGGCTGGTTGGGTCATCAGGGATTGTCTTCTTTGGGCTTGATGATGCTCTAAAGCCGATCTCAAGCAAATGCCGAACACAGCACAATCATTCAAATGTGTGGTGTGTCATGGTGTTTCCGTTCTAAGGGCCTCGCAGGAGGCCTCCGTTGGCACCTCGTGGGGCGACGTGGGGCATCCTGGAGCCGCCCGGGGGGATCTTAGAGCCTTTGACGGTCCTTGGCCCTTGCAGGCTGGTGTTGGGGCCGTCTGGTCCAGTCTCGAGACCGTACGGGGGGGCTCTCTTGGAACAGTCTTGGACGTCTTAGGGGGGGAGGGGGGGGATCTCCGCGGATGCTTGCGGCGAGGCGAAGTTGTTGTTGGAAGGCATCCTAAATCTTACCAGACGATGGTTGCTAGCATGGACCCCAATCATGGCACTCGCGGTGTGCACTCTGTGTGTTGCAACCTCTGGGATGCAGTCCATGTGGTGCAACGTATGTGACGCAACATCATGATATGTTGTGCAAGCTATATTGTGCAAGCTATGCGTGTACTGTAAGCTGTGCGGTGTAACCTATGCGGTGAAAGTTGTGGAGTGCACATTACGCTGCAATATATGTAGTGAAATCTATGTGGTGCAAACTGTGTGTGCATCCTGAAAAGCCAGCCAGGGCACGAGGCGGGCGCGGGCGACAACCAGCCGGCCTGACGGGAATGTTCAGGTCGAGCTTCTTCGGTTCTCCCCCAATCGTCCCCCCTCGGTGGTATCAGAGAGGCCGACCAGCGCGTGGGGCGAACCTCTTCTCCCTTTCCCTCTCCCCGTCGTGCTCCTCAGCACAGCCGCTGGCCCGTCGGCGTCGTCGTCGTCGGCGTCGTCGTCGACGGCGTCGTCGGCGTCGGCGTCGGCGTCGGCGTCGGCGGGCACACATCGGGGACGGGCGCCCGAGGGACGGAAAAGCTCTGCACGCCCGGGGAAGCGCACGGAGTGGGCGCCCGGTGGCGGGCTCGGGCGCCCGAGGTCCAGCCGAGCGCTCGCCGCGGCAGGCGGGAGCAAGCGCCGCATGTCGGACGGGGCTGGGACGAGGACGAGTCCGTTCTCAGAGCGTTCCCGGAACGCTCTGGGAAGGCTGCGGCGCCCGAGACATCTTCCGGAGATGCTGGGTCTCAGAGATTTCCGATGTATCCTCACCCGATGTTCTCCTCATCCTGGCTTCGTCTTAGCACGGGGAGCTGCCTGCACTCCTCTGACGCGCCCCCACCTGCCGAGGGGCACGGCTGCGGAAATTCCATGTGAGCTTTCATGGCATGGCTCGTCAGCGCCTGGCACGTCGGAGTGGGTCGGCATTGGATATTCGCATCGCCAGTCCCTGGAGCGGCGTGGCGTGTCTTCCGACGGGAGAGGTGGTGGGTTGGAATGCAGTGGGGAGATTTGAGTACGGATGTTAGTGGGAGGGGGTTCTGTTCAGAGTTCGGGTGCACCTTGCTCTGACTCCGCAGAGCCTTTCATTGAACGCTTCCCCACCATGTGTGCTGTTAAGCCAGGAGTGGAACGGCATCGTTTGCGACATAGGCACCGACCACGCGAATGGCAAGGAAGGTCTCGGATTCGAGAAATTCAAGCAGCTGGTGGCAGCTGGCAAGTACCCGCGCCAGCTTGAAAAGGAGAGTCGGGAAGAGATCAGTACGAAAATGGATGTTGTACGGATGCCGCACTAAAACTTGCAGTGATGATCTCGTGTGGACGCCCGTGATGTTGACGCCTGACAAGCGCTGCCCCCAGGCGTTTCCGCCCTGCAGGACACATCAAACCGCCTGCACCGCCTCCTCTGCATCGGCGCCCCAGCGCCCGGAGGGGTGCCCGTGGCCACAGTCGGGGGCGTCCAAGAGAGGGAAGATGATTCAGGAGAGGGTGGGCCCCCCTTTTCTTCTTTCGGCACGTCCCCTGGCCTTGGAAACAGGAAGCGCACCACCAACACCACCACCTGGGGGGATTCAAGATGAGCCGGTGTGCGGGATGCGGGTGTGCACGATGTCCCGCGAGAGCGCCCGAAACGGTATACGCCAGCACCACCCTTGACCACCCTCTGCCTCCATCCTCCAGGTGGTGGTGGTGGTGATAGTGGTGGTGGTGGTGGTGGTGGTGCGTGTCCTTCTCCCTATGGCCCCCCCTCCGTGGCTCTTCTTACAAAGCCCTGGGCGTTGTTTTACCTTTTCGCATTTTGGGCTCTTGACGAGCTAAAGAGGGCGAGGGGGAGCCCCTCGCCCGCGCACATGCCTCGGGCCATGATTTGCTAGCCTGCCTCTTCCTGGCCCCCCTCCTCGGCGCACCCGATTCTGGTAATGAGCACCAGCTCCAACTAGCTCCAGCATGTGGTGGCCCAGCCCGCGATCCTCAGTCAGCGTTTTTTTGTGGGTCCCGCCTCGACAAGGGTCGACCTCGCCTCGGCGGCGCAGCACGTCGGGGGGGGGGGTCATACCCTTCGGCGCCTGGCGTTTGCACGTGACGGTTTCGGGATTGCCGGCGGGGGCGGCGACCCCCCCGCGCTGAGTGAGAGCGCAGGGTTCGGAGGCTACGATAGGGGCGAATCAGCCCAGGGGCGGGCATTACACGTACTGGCCCAGGAGCCTCGGCGAAGGCATGGACCATCGACCCTTTTGGATACATGAATTGCTCTCCCCTGGGCTATTCGCCCCACCGTCGCCCCCGAAGGGTGTTGGGGACGTGTGCGGGACGTGTGGGTTGTGGGTGTTGGCGCTGGCGATCCGAGAGTGTTTCGCGGCTCCTGGAGTGCAGCCCAAGTAGCCCGACGTCCATGAGAGGAGATGCAGATGATGAGGTCTGCGAGGTGGCACAGCACGCTCAAGACAGAGAGGCTAAATGTTGGTGACTTCTCCGGGACTTCGTGTCCTCTTCCGAGGCCCCGTGTCCGTCGTCCTCCTCCCTAATATTCCCTTCCTCTTCTTCCGTTGTCTCTTTCCATACTCCTCCCCCCTTCTTTCTATTCCCCCTCTCCTTCTGTTCCTCGGCTCCCTGCCTCCTGGTCCCTTGCATAGGATAAGTACTTATTCATCATCCTTATATTTTGGCGCAGGGATACCTGCCGAGGAACGTACCAAATGGCCATGCAGTGTGGGCTCAGCTAGTAAAAAACTGGAAGGTGCATGGATTGAGAGAGGAGGGGGGGAAGAGGATCGAGGTTCCAGGGTCGAGAATCTAAGTTTCCCTCCACCCTCCTGTGTGTTGGGTCCTCGTTTTGAACCCGCAGCGCCGCTCATCTCTTCATCTCATCTCTTCCTCCCCCATGCTTCCTCCTTTTCCGTATCAGCATCTTCTTTATTGCGTCTGTATGTTTTGCCCGTCTTCTCATCCGTGACAGAGGCAACACCTTTCACATGCTTCGTGGCCCCACAGAGGGAGCTCCACCACAGGCCCCAGTGGCTGGGTTCACATGGTGCCCCACCTGATTTTGTCATATCCATCATGCGGATCGTGGCCCCATAGGGAGCTCCACCGAAGGTTCCAGTGGCATGGTACGAATGGTTTCTCAGGTCCATGTTGGCACACTCCTCACGCGCTTCGTGGCCCCATAGGCAGCTCCACCGAAGGCCCTCGTGGCTGGCTGGGTTCACATACCGCCGTCCCGACCATTTCGGCAGACCCCTCATGCTTCGTGCCCCCCTAGGGAGCTCCACTGAAGGCCCGGGTGGTTGCGTCCGCATGCCGCCCCCCCGACCACTTCGGCAGATCCCTCACACGTTTCTCATGAGTCATGCTGTCTGTGTATGTGTGTATGTGTGTGGTAACGGGCGCCACTATCGGCTTGCTTTTTATGGGAAGAAGAAACCGTTTCTTCGGTCGGCTGAGAGAAAGCAAGACCCGTGCTTTCGCAAATATTTCTGCAGTATTGAAGTGCCGCGCCATGTGTTGCAGTGTGTGTGTGTGTGTGTGTGTGTGTCGGCGCGTGTGGGCGTGTGTGTGTGTATGTGTGTGTGCGTATGTTTGTGCGCTGCAGGACGCCACCTACGCAATTATTCAAACACCCGTTGATCGTTTGGTCGGTTGAATACCACAAGCGTGCTTCCGCGCGCAAGCTTGCAGTGTTGAAATATCACATTATGCGATTATGCGTTCCTCCAGATATTCAGCCTTATCTCTCTGCCTCCGTCCTCGTGCTCCGTGGCGCATTCTTCGTCGTCTTCTCATGTGCGATCGAAGTCGTGAGAGTGCGCGTGAAGGGGGGGCGTTGAGTTTGGTTTGACGGACTGGCGAAGCGTTCGGAGGGCGCCGCAGACATTTCCACGTATCGTTGTGTGTTGAGCGGTTTTCTTTATAGTCGCCACGCGTTAAGAAAACGGTTGGGTTCTTCGCCTGGCTAACTTTACAATTTGGATGTTTATCTGGCCACGGCTGAATCCGCGTCGATCATCCAGTAAAATCACACCCGGGGAGAAACTGGGAGTCGCTATTTCAGGGGGAGGGCCCCAGGGCCAAGAGCCCCAGAAGACATCGTGAGGGCACCAAGAGGCCCTAAGCAGGCACCAAGAGGGCCCCGAGACTTATAGGAGCCCCGCCGAAGAGAACTCCTAAACTCTTCCACGATGGCCCCAGGGGGACCCAGGGCCCCCCACGTGGGGAAAGTGGAGGCTCATAGGGGAGAGGTCAGTCCTTGAGATCTTGGCGTTTAAATTTTTCGAGCCGAGCGTTTTCGCTTGGTTTCGGGCCCGGGACCCTCACATATCGATGTTGTTGAACATTGGCGTAGACGATGGGGTACAGGGCTCCAGTCGCGATGTTCCACCACGTTTTGCTTTGTTCGCGACGTCGGATCTCAGGGGAGGGGCATGCGGAGAGGTCAGTAGGGGAGGAGGAAGGGGGAAAAGGGAGGCGGAGGTAGGCGGCCAGAGGGAAGGATTGTTTCGCACTCTCGGATCGTCTGGGGCTGAGGCTCGGATTACATGTGTCCCGATTTTGAGTGGCGAGGTAACGACTTGCGTCCTCTATCGTCTGCTTACCTTGCGTGGGCATGCGCGAGCTGTCGATGTGTGATGCGCTTCTTGGCCGCATAAGGTACAGAATGGAGACAGAGGAGATAGTGGATAAGCTTGAGATGCTGCGGTGGGGGCACCAGGCAATTGTCCAAGAGAACTGGCTGAAGGCCACAAGGGGCTGGCATAGGCTGGAGCAGAATATCGGCATGCGCGTACGGAATACCACTCGTAACCGACGTGAAGAGTTATCCGTTCGCCGAACCCATCGAAAGCGGAGCCACTCACGAGAGAGCGAAATACCTTTTCGCCAAGGCGCCGCGCAGGCATTCCCTTTACGTTTCGTTCCCGTGTATACGCGACACGGTTTTTTTTACATGCCGCAATGTTCGTAAACGGGCCCATGCGACCATGGGGCGACGGCTTTAGCATCGAATCAGACGAGCGTTGGATTGAATGCGCGTTTTCAACCAGAACCGACGTAATATAGCGGCAGCGCGGCAACCGCACGAGCCGTGCAGCATGCCCCAAACACACACACACACACACATGCACGCGGTGAACCCCGTTGCGAGCCCCGTAAACAAGGACGCACCATCCTGTCAATGTTCTCGCCATCCGACTGCGCCATCCAGGAGTACATTCTCATAAGTTGTGAACGTTGGAACATCGTCACGTTGGAGCTCGCAGATCAAATCCATAATCGGAGGTGAGGGGGTGAGATCGAAGTGGAACGGAGAGCCCCCCTACCAGGAAATCGGTTTCGGTTTCGTGTTCGTGCGTGCCGTGCGTGCGGGCGAGGCGAAGCTGCGTGGGCGGGCGAAAAATAAGTCTTCTGTAGCTGAGGCGCGGCCGGACCAAACGTCTCCCTTCCGGCAACCCGTGCCCCGCGGTGTCCCGCCGGTGTCCCGCTCGGGGGCCGGTGGCGCGCGGTGTCCCGCAAGTGTCCCGCCGGTGTCCCGTCGGTGTCCCGATGATGATGATGATGATGATGATGATGATGATGATGATGATGATGATGATGATGATGTTGATGATGTTGACGATGATGATAATGGCGATGGTGGTGATGATGATGGTGCCCCGGTGATGATGATGTTGATGATCTTGATGATGTTGATGATGATCATATGACTTGATGATGATGATGGTGTTCCGATGATGAGAATGATGATGATGATGAGGTTGATGATGATGCTACTGACGATGATGGTGTCGCGATGATGATAATGAGTGATGATGATAATGATGATGTTGATGATGAGAATGATGATGAGATGGTGATGATGATTTTGATGATGGTGGCCCAATGATGGTGATGATGATGCCGATGTTGATGATGATGACGGTGTACCGATGATGTTGATGATGATGATGGTGATAATGATGATGATGATGACGATGATGATGGTGTTCCGATGATGATGGTGTTGATGGTGATGCTGTTAATGGTGATGATGATGGTGGTATGATGATGATGATGATGTTGTTCATGATCATGATGGTGGTATGATGATGATGACGTTGGTGTTCCGATGATGATGATGTCCCGATGATGATGATGCTGGTAATGATGATGGTGACGATGATCGTGTCTCGATGATGACGATGGTAATGCTGATGATGTTGATGATGATGGTGATGAGGTGGTGATGATGATGGTGTCCCGATGATGCAGCTGATGATGATGATGATGTTGGTGACGTTGATGACGATGAGGCTGATGATGATGATGACGTTGATTGTGATATTGATTGTGATATCGATGGTGATATTGATAGTTCGACCGAATGTGAGATCGATTGTGAGATCGATAGTGAGATCGATAGTGAGATCGACTGTGATCTCGATAGTCTGATTGTGAGATCGATCGAATGAAATAGATCGAGTGAGATCGATTGTGAGATCGATCGAGTGAGATCGATCGAGCCAGACCGATAGTGATATCGATAGTGAGATCGATAGTGAGACCGATCGAGTGAGACGTTGGTTCCTTCCCCCCCGAACCTCCTTATCACCCGAAGGGTGGTCGTATAGGTATCATGTTTGCCACCGTGGAGCCCAAGCATTCGGTTATGGCACTGTGTATGTGATAGATTGGAGGTAGGGGGGTGAGATCGCAGTGAAACGGACACCCCCAACTGGGATATCGTTTCGTTTCGTTCGTGTCGTGCGTGTGGGCGAGGCGAACTTGTGTGGGCGCGCGACAGGAATCAACCCGCCGCTGCTAGGGCGAAGTCAAGACAAATGATTATCCCCCTCCCGCCCGCCCGTCCAGCGGTGGCTCGCGGTGCCCCGCGGTGTCCCATGGTGTCCCGTGGTGTCCGGCGTTGCTAGGGCGAAGTCAAGACCCACCCGCCCGTCCGTCCGTCCGTCCGGCGGTGGCTCGCGGTGTCCCGCATTGTCTCGTGGTGTCCCGTGGTGTCCCGTGAGATCGATGGGAGGTTGGGGGGTGAGCCCGACGTGAAACGGAGACCCCCCCTACCGGGAAATCGATTTCGGGTTCGGGTTCGTGTCGTGCGTGCCGTGCGTGCGCGCGTGCGGGCGAGACGAGGCGAAGCTGCGTGGGCGGGCGAGAGGAAATTCTCCTGTGGCTGGGCCGCGGCCGGACCAAAAGTCCCTCCACCGGCAAACGGTGGCCCGCGGTGTCCCGCTGGTGTCCCGCTGGTGTCCCGAAATCCTCCTGTGGCTGGGCCGCGGCCGGATCAAAAGTCTCTCCACCGGCAAACGGTGGCCCGCGGTGTCCCGTTGGTGTCCCGCTTGTGTCCCGAAATCCTCCGGTGGCTGGGCCGCGGCCAGACCAAAAAGTCTTTCCACCTGGCAAACGGTGCCCCGCGGTGTCCCGCTAGTGTCCCGCTGGTGTCCCGCCGTGGCTGCGGCGAGGTATCCAATGCAAGTCTACAGGCAAACCGAAAAGCACATCGAAATGCAAATCGACATGCACATCCACATGCAAATCGTGAGGCGCCGTGGGTTGCGTATTTCGGAGTTGGGGGGTGAGATCGAAGTGGAACGGAAAGCCCCCCTACCGGGAAATCGGTTTCGTGTTCGTGCGTGCCGTGCGTGCGGGCGAGGCGAAGCTGCGTGGGCGGGCGAGAAATAAGTCTCCTGTAGCTGAGGCGCGGCCGGACCAAAAGTCTCCCTTCCGGCAACCCGTGCCCCGCGGTGTCCCGCCGGTGTCCCGCTCGGGGGCCGGTGGCGCGCAGTGTCCTGCCGGTGTCCCGTCGGTGTCCCGATGACGATGATGATGATGATGATGATGATGATGATGTTGATGATGTTGACGATGATGATGGTGATGGTGGTGGTGATGATGGTGTCCCGATGACGATGATAATGATGATGATGATGTTGACGATGTTGATGATGGTGATGGTGATGGTGGTGATGATGATGGTGCCCCGATGATGATGATGTTGATGATGATGTTGATGATGATGGTGACGGTGCCCCGATGATGATGATGATGGTCTTGATGATGATGATGATGTTGATGATGACCAGATGATTTGATGATGATGATGACGATGATAATGATGATGGTGTCCCGATGATGATGACGATGATGATGGTGATGTTGAAGATATTGATGATGATGGTGATTTTGATGATGGTGTCCCGATGATGGTGATGATGACAATGATGATGATGACGATGATGGTGTCTCGATGATGATGAGGTGATGATGATGATTTTGATGACGGTGGCCCAATGATGGTGATGATGATGTTGACGTTGATGATGATAATGGTGTTCCGATGATGTGGGTGATGATGATGATGGTGACGATGATGATGGTGTTCCGATGATGATGATGGTGATGATGATGTCGATACTGATGATGATGGTGTCCCGATGATGGTGATTATGATGCTGATGATGTTGTTCGTGATCATGATGATGAGATGATGACGATGATGATGATTATGGTGGTGTTCCGATGGTGATGATGATGATGATGATGATGATGGCGTCCCGATTATGATGATGCTGATGATGATGGTGACAATGATGGTGTCCGGATGATCATGATGATGGTGATGATCATGATGTTGGTGATGATGGTGATGGGGTGATGATGATGATGATGGTTTTCCGATGATGTTGATGATGTTGATGACGTTGATTGTGATATTGATTGTGATATTGATATTTTGACCGAGTGTGCAATCAATACTGAGATCGATTGTGAGATCGATCGTCAAATCGATTGTGAGATTGATCGAATGAAATAGATCGAATGGGATCGATTGTGAGATCGATCGAGTGAGATCGATCGAGCGAAACCGATAGTGATATCGATAGTGAGACCGATCGAGTGAGACGTTGGTTCCTCCCCCCGCGAACCTCCTTATCACCCGAAGGGTGGTCGTATAGGTAAAAAATCGGCGCCTGCGGCGAGTTTTCCAAAGCAAGTCGACATGCAAATCGTGATGCAGATCGAAAAGTAAATCGACATGCAATCGATAAGTCGACATGCAATCGGGCTGTCCCCCCCCCCTCAAACCTCCTTCTCACCCGCAGGGTGGTCGTATAGGTCGGAGGTGAGGGTGAGATCGAAGTGGAACGGAGAGCCCCCCTACCGGGAGATCGGTTTCGGTTTCGTGTTTGTGCGTGCCGTGCGTGCGGGCGAGGCGAAGCTGCGTTGGCGGCCGAGAAATAAGTCTCCTGTGGCTGAGGCGCGGCCGGACCAAAAGTCTCCCTTCCGGCAACCGGTGCCCCGCGGTGTCCCGCCGGTGTCCCGCTCGGGGGCCGGTGGCGCGCGGTGTCCCGCCGGTGTCCCGCCAGTGTCCCGTCGGTGCCCCGATGATGATGATGATGATGATGATGATGATGATGATGATGATGATGATGATGATGATGATGATGATGATGATGTTGATGTTGATGTTGATGATTTGGAGGGTGAAAGAGGGGTCTGCAACAGGGGGTCTTCAATGGGGGCTGAATGGCCCATGTATGCTCAATGTATCGTTCATGTATGTGATCGGGTACGATTGGCATCCAATGCTGGCGGTCATTGATGGCCAGTCATTCGTGCCCGCGCGTTGCCCGCGCGGGCACACGCGCCGTCCATCCATTATCGTTCATGCGTGCGGGCGTTCGTGCATATTGCGTGTGGGTCGGCGAAGTGGAGTGCAAGTGTGTCTTGATTGTGCGGTTGATGATCGCGTGTGTTCCCAAACGGTGACTTCTCGACCCCCAAGACAGATTTGGAATGGGCCCCGCGATTCTCCCAAAATGTGAATTCACATTTTCCTTTTTCCCAAAATGTGAATTCACATTTTCTTTTTTCCCAAATTCTTTTTTCCCAAAATGTGAATTCACATTCTGGCCCCTTCATAAAGAATCCTACACTAAATTCCAAAATGTGAATTCATATTTTCCTTTTTTCCCCAAGTGTGAATTCACATTTTCCATTTTCCCAAAATGTGAATTCACATTTTGCTTTTCCCCACAATGTGAATTCACATTTTGCCCTGGCCTTCAAGATCCCCAAAACTGAGGCGCAGTGTTCCGCATGTCAGATTGGCTGGGCAGATTTCGACACTCACCTTACCGCTTTCGTGTGTTCCAGCCTTTTCTTTTTGCGCCCTTAGCGCGCGTTGCCTTCGTCGCCTTTCCTGAGCCCCCCGCCCCTTGCTTCCTTTCCCCTCAAGTATGGCGCGCGGGTGCAGGCGGGGGGTTTCAATTAGTTCCCCCGCCGAACACAGCAATCGAGGATGTATCGCCCATTCATGGCCTTAAATAACATCGTTGCCGGGGCCCTGCGCCCGACCCCCACTTTCACCCTCCAAATGATGTTGATGATGATGATGGTGATGGTAGTGATGATGATTGTGTGCCGATGATGATGATGATGATGATGATGATGTTGACGATGTTGATGATGATGATGATGATGGTGATGGTGGTGTTGATGATGGTGCCTTGATGATGATGATGATATTGATGATGATGTTGCTGATGATGATGGTGCCCCGATGATGGTGATAGCGTTGATGATCGTGATGGTGTTGATGATGATCTGATGATGATGATGGTTAGGATGATGAAGGTGGTGATGATGATGTCCCGATGATGATGATGAGGTGGATGATGGTGATTTCGATGATAATGGTGATGATGATGGGGTCCCGATGATGACGATGATAATGATGATGACGATGATGGTGTCCGGATGATGATGATGATGATGTTGGTGATGAGGATGATGATGCGGTTATGATGATGATTTTGATGATGGTGGCCCAATGATGGTGATGATGCTGATGTTGATGATGATGATGGTGTCCTGATGATGTTGGTGATGATGATGGTGATGATGATGGTGTTCCGATGCCATCATGATGATGGTGATGATGATGATGCTGTTGCTAATGATGATGTCGGTGTCCCGATAATGATGGTGATGTTGATGATGTTGTTCATGATCATGATGATGAGATAATGGTGATGGTGATGGTGATGATGATGATGATGGTGGTGTCCCGATGATGATGATGATGATGATGGTGCCCCAATGGTGATGGTGTTGATGATGATGATGATTGTGACGATGCTGATGTTGTTTATGATGATGATGGTGTTGATGGCGATTTTGATGATGATGGCGGTGAGGTGGTGATGATGATGTTGTTTCGGTGATGATGATGATGACGATGTTGGTCACATTGATGACGGTGATGTTGATGATGATGGTGACGTTGATTGTGATATCGACTGTGCTATCGATAGTGGTATCGATAGTTTGACCGAATGTTAGATCGATTGTGTGACCGATAGTAATATCGATAGTGAGATCGATTTTGATATCGATCGTCAGATCGATTGTGAGATCGATTGAATGAAATAGATGGAGTAATATCGATTTGGAGATCGATCGAGCTGATATCGATCGAGCGATACCGATCGTGAGATCGATAGTTGATCGGTCGTGAGACCGATCGAGTGAGACGTTGGTCCCTCCCCACCCCGAACCTCCTTATCACCCGAAGGGTGGTCGTATAGGTATAGTCATACCGATAGTGATATCGATACTGGGATCGATATTGAGATCGATACTGCGATCGATGTCGTGCCCCGAGGTGTCCCGTGGTGTCCCGCGGTGTCCCAAACAGTGAAATCGATAGTGAGATCGATAGTGAGATCGACAGGTGTACTGTGGTGTCCCGTGGTGTTTTGTTGAGTGAGATCGATAGTCAGATCGATGTTGAGATCGATGTGGTGCCCCGAGGTGTACCGTGGCGTCCCAAAAAGTGAGATTGATAGTGATGTCGATAGTGAGATCCACAGGTGTCCCGTTGTGTTCCGTGGTGCCCCGTTGAGTGAGATCGATAGTGAAATCGATCGTGAGACCGATGTGTTATCCCGTGGTCTTTCTATGGTGTCGCGTTGAGTGAGATCGATAGTGAGCTCGATCGTGAGACCGATAGTGAGATCGAGAGGTGTCCCGAGGTGTCCCGTGGTGGCCCGTGGTGGCCCGTGGTGGCCCGTGGTGTCCCGTGGTGTCCCGTTGCGTGAAATCGATAGTGAGATCGATAGTGAGATCGACAAGTACCCCGTGGTGTCCCGTGGTGTCCCGTTGAGTGAGATCGACAGCGAGATCGATTGAGTCAGATGTAGGTTCCCCCCTCTCCCTTCCCACGCTCTCCTTATCACCCGAAGGGTTGTCGTCGGAGGGTGGAGGGTGAGATCGCTGCGGGACGGAGATCCCCAACCGGGAAATCGTTTCGTTTCGTTCGTGTCGTGCTTCCGGGCGAGGGGAACCTGCGTGCGCGCGCGAGAAGACTGAACCCGCCGTTGCTAGGGCGAAGTCAAGACAAATGATTCTCCCCCGCGCGCCCGTCCGGCGGTGGCTCGCGGTGTCCCGCTGTGTCCCGCTGTGTCCCGTGGTATCCCGTGGTGTCCCGTGGTGTCCCGTTGAGTGAGATCGATAGTGAGATCGATCGTGAGATCGACAAGTATCCCGTGGTGTCCCGTGGTGTCACGTTGAGTGAGATCGATAGTGAGATCGATTGAGTCAGGTGTTGGTTCCCCCCTGTCTCCCCCCCCGTTGCTAGGGCGAAGTCAAGACAAATGATTCTCCCCCGCCCGCCCGTTCGTCCGTCCGTCCGTCCGGCGGTGTCCCGCGGTGTCCCGCGGTGTCCCGTGGTGTCCCGTGGTGTCCCGTTGAGTCAGATCGATAGTCAGATCGATGTTGAGATCGATACTAAGATCGATGAGGTGCCCCGAGGTGTCCCGTGGTGCCCTAAAAAGTGAGATCGATAGTGAGATCGATAACGAGATCGACAGGTGTCCCGTGGTGTCCCGTGGTGTCCCTTCGAGTGAGATGATAGTGAGATCGATTGAGTCAGATGTTGGTTCCCCCCTCTCTCCCCCCCCCGCAAACTCCTTATCACCCGAAGGGTGGTGGTATAGGTATGTGATTCAGTGGAGTTTCTGCGGTCGTTTTTTCAAAGAGCAAGTACGCATCTTCGGGACACCCTCGCAGGCGGCAACGGGCGGCAACGGGCCGGAACAGGCGGCAACGGGCGCCAACGGGCAAGAACGTGGCGAATCCTCGAGACACCCCCACAGGCGGCAACGGGCGGCAACAGGGCGGCAACAAGCCGGATGAGAGTGTTTTTGTTAGTTGAACCCGTAATGTCCGTGACGGGGGGGTCCTCCCCCGTAGCGGTAACGAACGTACGCGTGGGTGGTCTTGGGTGGTGCCGGTTGGTTCTTCTTAAGGTGTGGCGGTATACTCACAGGATTGCTGTAGTGCTGACAGGCATGATTTGGTCTTCACGAGCATGCTGTGGCGCTCGCAAGCATCCGATTCGCTGGGAATGCCACTGGCACTCCCAGCGCTCCTGAGGAACGCCGGGAGTGCAGAGTTGCCGCTGCTGCTCCTGCTGCTCCTGCTGTTGCTCCTGCTGTTGCTTTGGTGGCCCTCCTGCCCTTCCTCTGTCTACCGGTGCTGTTCTTGCTGGTCCTCGTGCTTCTCCTCCTCGTGCTCCTGCTCTTGCTATTGTTCCTGGCTGGTGTTCCTGCTGCTGCTCGTGCTGTTTCTCCTCCTGCCTCTCCTGCTGCTCCTCCTGCCACGCATCCAGCTGCTGGTATTGCTGTGATCACAGACGCGCTGTGGTGTTGACGGGCATGCGTTCGTGTTCACGAGCATGCTGTGGCGCAACTATAAGGCGCAAGATGTGGCGCAACCCATTGGGCAACCTATGACGCAATCTGTGACGCGCCCTGGGGGCGCAACCATATTGCGCAACGCACGGCGTAACCGTTGGGCGCAACCTATGGGCGCAACCCGTGGCGCAGCGTGTTGCACTCTGAATGTGCAGTAACTCGCCGTCTGGGGTCTTAAGACTGCAAGCGTATGCTTGTACTGGTGGCATGAATTGCCGCGCCACTGTCGTCCGGTGACGAGGCGCATACATATCCGTGGCCCCTGGAAAGGCCCGTGCTGTGCCAGGAGCGGTGTTTTTGCCCCTGTGGCTAAGCCAGGAGGGCGTGCGCACCGCTCCTGGGCACAAAGCGCAGTAGATCTATATACGCTTTGTTGTCCCACGCTGCTGCCAATGCCATCCCCTCAGCCGCCGCAGCTGAACTAGGAACCGCGTGCATTCCATAGGCTGACGCCGCCCCGCAAGCCCCAAGAAAATACACTGGACGGCCCCTCAATACGCGGCGTGGTGGCCGGAATCGCATTGCGATGCTCGCAGACGCGCAGTGCCCGCACTGTGGTGTTCGGTAACGGACTGTGGTATTCGCAAGAGCGCCGTGGTGTTCGCAAGCGCATCCAATACAACGACCAATAGTAACATTACTACTACGACAACGCCGAGTACGATTACTACCGCTTCCGCTACTTCCACGATTGCGACTATTGCTATTACTACGGCTACTACGACGACTACTACTACTTCTACTACTACGACTGATACTACGACGATGATTAATGTTACGATTGTTACTGCGACGCTTATTACTACCACTTCTACCAGTCGCACTACGACTATTACTGCAATTACTTCTACTATTACTGCTTCTACTATTACCACTACTACTACTACTACTACTACTACTACTACTGCTACTACTACTACTATCACTACTACTACTACTACTACGATTCCTCCCCCTACTACTACTACTATTACTACTACTACTACTACTACTACTACTACTGGTGCTGCTACTGCCATTACTAATGCGATTACTATTACTATTACTATTAATGTTACTATTACTATTACTATTATTATTACTATTACTATTACTATTACTATTACTATTACTATTACTATTACTATTACTACCACTACGACTACGACTACGACTACGACGACAAGTGCCACTGCGATTACTTCTACTACAACTACCACTACTACTACGACTACTACTACTACTACTACTTCTACTACTACAATTACTTTTGTTATTTCTACTGTGGATATTATGTTTATTAGGACGACTACGATTACGGGTATCACTACTAGTGGAACTACCACTATTGCGCTACTACTACTACTACTACTACTATTCGTACTAGTACCACCACTACAACTACTACTGCTGCTACTACCAGTACTACAACGATAACTATTAGTACTCGTAGTTTCTGTTGCACTGGTTATTATTGTTATTCTTATCACTACTACGACGACTGCTAGTGTTACTACTACCACGACTACTACTACTACTACTACTACTACTACTACTACTACGACTACCAGCACTACTACTACTACTACTACTACTACTACTACTACTACTACTACTATTATTACTACTACTACTACTACTACTACTATGACGACGACTACTACTACTACTACTACTACTACTACTATTACTATTACTACTACTACTACTACTACTACTACTACTACTACTACTACAACTACTACGAACCAATGGTTTTTATTAGTTTTCTATTGGGAACCAATGGTTTTTATGAGTCTTCTATTGGGAACCAATGGTTTTTTTTTTATCAATTTTCTATTGGTGAATTCCTTGGGATTCCTCCGAGATTCCCCCGGAATCTTCCGAGATTCCTTAGGATTCCTGCTGAATTATTTGGGGTTCCTGAAGAATTCCTACGGGTTCTTCTGGCATTCCTTAGGATTCCTAAAGAATTCCTTTGGATTCCTGGAGACTTCCTTAAGATTCCGGAGAATTCCCTTGGTTTCCTGGAGGCTTCCTTGGGATTCCGCAGGGATTCCTAAGGATTCCTGAGGATTTCCTTAAGATTCCTTCAGGATTCCGTAGGATTCCTTCGGATTCCTGGAAGCTTCCGGGACAAATCCTTAGATTTCTTGCAGGCTTCCTTGGGATTCCTAAAAAATTCCTTGGGCTCCAAGAGATTTCTTTAGGATTCCTGGAGAATCCCTCAGGACTCCTCAGGGATTCCTCAGGATTCTGGATGAATTCCTTAGGATTCCTGAGGAATTCCTTAGGATTCCTGGAGAATTCTTCTACGATTTTTGGGGAATGCTTGAGGTTTCCGTGAAAATTTTTCAGGATTCCTCGAGAATTCCTTAGGATTCCTCACAGCGTGCCTGCCATAAGTCAAGTGCGAAGGAGGCGTAGTTTTTATCGGGTTTTCGTACACTTGTATAGAAACCCAACCAAACTACCGGCCATAAATAGGCCGGCCATAGACGACGGGCGACCCTACTATTACTACGACTACTACTACTACTACTACTACTACTACTACTACTACTACTACTACTACTACCAATATTATTACGTCTACCACGACCTACTACTACGACTAAAACTGATAGTACTGGCATTTGGATTAATATGATTATCCCTCTTATCATTATTTCTAATGCAGCGACCACTACTGCTACTACGATTTCTATTACGACTTCTACGACTTCTACGACTTCTACGACTACGACGACGACGACTACTACTACTACTACTACTATAACTACTACTATTACTACTACTACTACTACTACGATTATTATTATTACGACTACGACTACGACTACGACTATTACTACTATTACTACTACTACGACTACTACTATTACTACTACTACTACTACTACTGCTACTGCTACTACTACTACTACTACTACTACTAATATTATTATGATTACTACTACTACTACGACTACTACTACTACTACTACTACTACCATTACCATTACTACTACTACTACGACTACTACGACTACTACTACTACTACTACTACTACTACTACTACTACTACTACTACTACTACTACTACTACTACTACTACTACTACTACTACTACTACTACTACTACTACTACTACTACTACTACTACTACTACTACTACGACTACTACTAGCTACTACTACTACTACTATACTACTAACTACTAACTACTACCTACCACCTACTACTACTACTACTACTACTACTACTACCACTACTACTACTACTACTACTACTACTACTACTACTACTACTACTACTACTACTACTACTACACTACTACTACTACTACTACTACTACTACTACTACTACGACTACTACTACTACTACTACTACTACTTCTACTACTAACTACTACTACCATTACTTACTAACTACTACTACTACTACTACTCTACTACTACTACTACTACTACTACTACTACTACTACTACTACTACTACTACTACTACTACTACTACTACTACTACTACTACTACTACTACTACTACCTACTACTACTACTACTACTACTACTACTACTACTACTACTACTACTACTACTACTACTACTACTACTACTACTACTACTACTACTACTACTACTACTACCTACTACTACTACTACTACTACTACTACTACTACTACTACTACTACTACTACTACTACTACTACTACTACTACTACTACTACTACTACTACTACTACTACTACGACTACTACTACTACTACTACTACTACTACTAGTACTAGTACTAGTACTAGTACTACTACTACTTCGCAGTGGTCAAACCCCTTCCGGCAACCTTTTTCCACCGAGGAGGTTGTCTCGGCCGCGCGTGGCATCGGGCCCCTCGCCGAAAAAGGTGGTTCGAGGCTTTGGGATTGGGCTCGGGACAAACATGTCGTGCTCTGGGCTCTACATGATCATACCGCTCATACCCAGTGCTTGGCGAGCTTTCTGCGCCTGGGGCCTGACGATCGCCCGCGTTCGTGCCGCTTCGTCGTCACCTTGGGTCTGCTCCCAGGCATGACGGGCTTCACCAAGATCGTGGACTTGTGGTGGTATCCGCTATTGGCAGAGTAATGGGCACCACTTCTACGAGGATGTCAGGTTACCCCGCTCCCTATGGAATGGATCTCTTCGGGGCAAGTGGGCTTTCGTTTGGGTCACTCGGGCCGAGCGGTCTTCACCCTGAGCCCGGACGGGCCTCGGGTTGCAACTCATGTTCGCCTGCCTCATTCTCCACTCTTTCACTGCCCCTGGCCCAGGGCGGCCACGATCGACCTCCGAGCGGACGATCTACCGAAGGTCTTGCAGCTGTTGAAGGGCCACGGTTTTGAGCAGAGTGCTGTGCGGCTTCATCGCCGCAGCTCCCTGAGCACCAAGGAAGTCCCCAGGGTGTGTTTGGACGTGCTGTTCTTCCCCGATTTCACCGACCTGTACGTCCAGATGCTTTTACAGCGGCTCCGCCGGCAGGGCCTGCCAGCAGACGCATGCTGGGCAATGCATGACCTTTACGGGTCTTCGGAAGCATCTATAGATATGTATATTTACACATATTTTCGAAGCCTCGTCGCCAGCCGATTTGGCCAGGTTCTGGCATTCATGCACGCAGATGCTGGCCCTGACCCGCACGAAATTGCTCGTCGTCGCCGCCGCGGAGGGGGCGAGCTGGACGACCATCATGGACGCAACTCTTCAAGCCGATGTTTCGGAAACATTCTTCCGTCTCAAATAAAAGGCATCGAGGAATGGCGGCCGCTCTACTGCAGTGCCGTCGGCCACCGAGGCTGTCCTGGCCGCGGGCCGAAGAGTACGGGAGAGTATGTCCACATGGCCAGGGTTGGCCTCCCCACCAGGACGTCTACGCATCTTCCTCCCAGATCTTGAGTCTGTCCAGAAGCTTTGGGTTGCTGTGCACGGGCGGTCGGTGCAGGTGGGCTCTGACCTGATATGGTTCCGCATCATCAACGACAGGCTGGACGCTGAGAGCCTGCCGGGCGGAGCATCTCGGCAGCGATTTTGACGATCCTACACCGCCAACGTGCATGCCGGAATTCAATATTTGACCGTAGACGGATGTTCAGGATGGGTATTGGACGTCGCGTCGATGTTCCTCCTAACTCAGGCGGGGCCGGGCGGACGGCCCCACGACCGTGCTCAGTCTTATCTTCGACCAGGTTCAACTACTGATGCATCGAATTTAGTTTCTGATCATACGCCTTCATTTTGGAATTCTGACCTTCGCATTATTCCACATCTTCCTCATGTTGTCTATCCCAAGGACGTGGTCCTACCTGCTCAAGTTCATGGATATCTCTTCGGTAATCCTCTGAGCGTGTATCGCCGTCAGCGGCTTCTACGTGCACTCGGTGACCATGGTGCACATTCCATTTTTCCCCCGCCCTTTTCCGTGCCCTGTACCCCGGCCGGCTGCTCTGGAGCACCGTCGCGGTCAATTCCGTGTTGACCTGCGAATCGCCACTTGGAACCCCAGGGCCTTCCTCTGCTAGGACGAGTCTCGCTATCGCAGGATGGTGCGCCACATGTCAGACCTGTTCAAGATGTGCGACGGCCTTGTCGTCACCGAGGCGCACGGCGCGGCAGGTCGCCACAAGGTCTGGA